TGGTAACCAGCGTCGCAGCTGTCGCAAAGTAGGATGTTCTGAGGGTCGTTGTCGGTACCGCAAGTCTCGCATCGGTCGCCAGGTCTGTCGTCGGCTGATCGAACGCGTGGGAAAGTTCGACTGGGGGTCGACTGCCGAGGCTGAGTCATGTGTGAACCCGCTACGGTAGGAGGAGCATCCTTTTTGAGTCGCTTGCTACGCCGCCCGTTTGCCTCATCCACATCGTCGTTTGCACTACTCTCCGGATCCTGAGAGAAGGTTCGCTTCAGTTGGTTGAAATGCTGCCCATTGGCTAGCGGGGTCAAGCCGGCTCCAGGCGGTCTGAAGTCCGGGGTGTTGTCAGCTGAGAGCATGGGACTGCCAGCATTGCGCAAAGGTGTCGACGTGCGCGATTCCAGCACATCTCGATGTATCGCACTCGGCGGATTCGCCGCAGTAAAAGTACTAGGTGTGGATGGTTGTGTAGACGGCTTTTGTGCTGAGTGCGCGTTGACCGCTGTGAAGCCTCCAGAGTTCACTGGTGTGAAGCCCGTCTGCATGGCAGGTCGTGAGAGCTCTGGTGGTGGAGTTGGCACAGAGTCACCCTGCAGTGTTGCGTTCAGCGCTGCTGAGGCTCGCATAGCCGGTGACTCGGCAGCGTTGGCGACAGGCGTACCCTGCAGCGATTTCTTTATGGGCGAATGGGCTGGTGACGGTGTGAATGGTCCGCCATGCTCGTACTCCAGCATCTGCTGCACACCAGGTTTGACGAGCCGCAGATACTCCTCGTATGGGTGCAGCCATTTCTGATACGAGTTTTTGAGCGATGTCGATAGCGAAGACATTATCTTGCCGCTGTAGCCGAGGTCGCGTCCGATTTCAGCCCATTTCTTCTGCTTGCAAACACGTTCGAATCCACCTCGCTTCTCAACGGCCTTCTTCAGTTTATAGAGATCCAATGGGCGCTTGTCCACACTGGGAAATCGAGTGAGACTGTGGCCATGTTGCTTGTGGAATTTGGCGAGCTGATCGAGATAGTTCAAGTTGGCACGCGTGCCACCTTCAACCGAGTTGAGTTCCTGTCGCCGCGTGCGGAAGTGGAAGCGCTCAGTATCGATAGCGAATGGCGGCTTCCAGCTGTCTGGTGGGACAATCTTGACGATGCCGTACTTTTGCCCTTCTTCGCGAATGCTTTGGATGTATGCCACAGGGTCCTTGAACTGCTCGGCTGTCGGTCGATATGTGGGAGATTCGCGCAGGCCAAAAAGACGGTTCTGTTTGGGAGGCAGGTGGTTTGGCGCTCCATGTCCTCTGCGCTCCACGGTAGCAAGATCCAGCGGCGCTGCCTTGCGCGCGCTCAGAGGAATCGTGCTGGCCGCACTCGGCTGCGCACCATTCGTTGCAGGCGCCGCAGCACCACCCATTCTAGATTTTGATGCGCCAGCTGCTGCGTCGGGTGTTCCACTGTCCGTGGCAACTCGAAAGGTAGTCATAGTGGCGCCCGTTGGGGTCCCGCCGGGGGGCATGAAATCGACCATAGTCTTCTTGCTCATGCATCAAGCGCTGTCGCTGCGTGCAGCCCTAATTGCAGCCTCGTAACGAGATACGAGATGGTTTGGAAGGTGTAGCGATTGTCGTCGGGCGTGATTCGGTCGGTGGTGGGCGCTATCGAAGAGATATAGGCGTAGGCATGGGGCCTCTACAGCGGCAGGCGACCGCTTTCGGCCGCTTGGACTGTGCAATTCACTCGTAACAGAGGCGAATGCCAGTGCGACTAGAGAGTTGTCTGTTAGCGACCGTCGTGGTTGTGGCAGCACGTGCACAGCGAGGTTGGCAAGGCGAGGTGGAGGAGATATGGAGAGGATGGATGGGTCCGCTGAAGGGTGCGAGATTCCCGCTAACGGCGGATGCATATCACGCCCGCCCAACCTGGTACCGAACCCAGAACAGCAGGGCACGGCTAATATTATGCACGACGCTTCGACTCTGTGCGTCACATCGATGGAGACATACAGAGCATTTCAAGTCAATACATTTTATCGCATTGATGCGGCATCGAGATGCCACCTTGGAGTGCAGTCGTGTGGTGAAGTATGAGAGCTACGTCGTGCCGATCTGGCGACTGCACGCAAGGCTGCCGACCTCACCTCCTCGGCCTTTCTTTTGCGCCGCATTCTACCATGATGACGACCAGCGAACTACATTGGCTCCCAGAACAAGCACATATTGATCTGACTCAGATGCTCTCCATTGCGACTTACTTCTTCTTACTTTCCATTGTGAACACATGCACGGCCATCTTCGCCACTTGTTTGCACCACCATACTGCATCTCGAAACAACAAGCGTAACAGTAGCAGCATTGCGCATTCATATCATACTGTCGCGGTCTTTCCATCTCTGAGTTAAATTCATCTCGACGCCTGAACTGCTGCAGGTGAGGTCGGGAGCAAGGTTGTCTCATCGGGAGGCACTCCAGCCAACCAATCACGACACACTCCATCTGCACCATCCCGTCAGCCCTAACTGGTCGCTGCACGCTTTTGGATGCGATCAACAAGGACATCGCGACTTCATCTTTGTCATGAACTCAATCATGGCCGACTCTGTCAAAATCGAAAGCCGGCCCATCCCAGCCTTCTACTGTTGTTACCTGCTCCGCTCCAAAAACCGAAAAGCCTTCTACATCGGCAGCACCCCCAATCCGGCGCGTCGTCTAGGCCAGCACAATGGCTCAAGCAAGGGCGGCGCGAAGCGTACATCAATGCAGGGGAAGCGGCCGTGGGAGATGACGTGCATCGTTACTGGCTTCCCCTCCAGAGCCGCCGCGTTGCAATTCGAATGGGCGTGGCAAAACACGCACGCCACCCGACACATAGAGCGTGAGGTGCGCGACGCGAGGCTGGAGGAGCTTCAAAAAGGCAGAAAGAACCCTTCACCAGTCAAAAGACCGCGACCACCCATGTCACTGGAAGCGCGGCTGAAGAATCTGCATCATCTGTTAGGTGTCGGGAGTTTCAGCCGATGGCCGCTGAACATCCGTTTCTTCGCCCAGGACGTATTCGCGCAATGGGAGAAGCACATTTCTAAAATGAAGACGAAGCTGCGAAAGGACATAACCATCAGAGTGACGCCGGCTGAGCTGCCCAAACTTGCACCGGATGTGCAGAGCGAGATGCGCACGCACTTCATTCCAGAAATAATACGAGCGATCCCCGTGGCGTATGAGGATTGCAAGGCACATGTCGAGAAGTCGAAGAACATTCTAGGAGATGGCCAAAAACGCACCTGTGGTGTTTGCAGATTAGGCATGAGTGCTGAGGAATCGCTTGTGCTGGTGTGTCCGGTAGAAACGTGCCGCGCAGTATCGCATATGGCTTGCATGTCACAAAAGTTCCTCGCAGAAGAAAAGAATGTCGATGCGCTCATTCCAATCCAAGGGACATGTCCGAGCTGCCATGCTTCCCTGAGATGGTCAGACCTTATGAAAGAGCTCAGTTTGCGCATGTACGGCGAAGAAGAGCTGAAAGTAATGTTCAAAACAAAGCGGAAGAAGAAGTCGGATGGAACAGTCGAAGAGGACGCGGAGGAGTTTCCAGACATTGACGAACTCGAAATTGACATGGACGAAGACCTCGATGAGACATGGGGGGAGAACGTGAACGACGACGAGGACAAGTGATCCTGCTTCAATCTCAGATGAGAACATCTACCACCCTTCCACCGTTCCCAGCGGCACCTGTCCTTTCGCAACCCGCTCAATACACCTATCAACCTCCTGTCTAATCTTCGCCGCCACATCCGTCATACTCTCGCCCGCATCGATGCGCACAAAGTCCTCGCCCTCCTTCTTTTGCATCATCGTCTCGAACAGCTCGCGCACACGATCCTGTATCTCCTTCTTTTCGTACTTCTCGGTACCATAGCCACCTCGTTTCGCAGCGTCGTCAGCAGAGATGTCAAGGAAGAGACACAAGTCAGGACGTGGAAGCCCGACTTCAGGTTTTCGGCACCATTCAAGGCTCATGCTGGGGTTTTGCTTGGCAGCGGAGTATACGCAGCCGCTGTAGTAATAGCGGTCTACGATTATTGTTGTTCCGGCTGCGAGATCGGCTTGGATAGAGGGTCTGGAGTATACGTTTAGACTTGAAGTTGAGGCGTAGTTGAAGATGTTTGACTTACACTGCTTCCCACCGATTTGCAGAAAACAGGAGGTGTATGACATGGTCGTCTTGATCGCTCTGGCCACTCAAGTAACTGTCGATCATCTGGCCAATCGGTGTCGTCCTATCTGTATACTACATCAGCGTTCAGCCCCATCCGATGAAAGGTGCATTCACGCGTCAGCGAATGGCTCTCTATCTACGCGCACGTACCAGGGAACCGCATATGCCGCACCTTGATCCCATCGTTTTGCAGATCTTCAACCAGCATCTGACATTGTGTTGATTTGCCTGCGCGATCTAGACCCTCGAACACTATGAGTTTACCTCGCGCCATGTTGTGGGGTTTGTGATACAAGAGGTCGTTCCCTGCAGCGATTAAAGCGCGGCTGAAGCGAGGCGTTGGTGGGGCCATTGCCACCCGGGCGCTAGCGACGAACTCATAATCACGGGCGGCGTCCATGCGAGCGTTGACCTTCAATGTTCTTCGAATATGCGAAAACAGGATACGCTCCTCTTCCCATTCGTCCACGTTACATGTGTGCATATCCTGTAAGCGATACAGGTGAGAACCCAGCAATGTGATCGAATCGAAGCAGCCAACGACCGGTGAACCGAAGATATCTTTGCAGCATGATACTTGAAGTATGCAGACTGCGCAAAACCAATAACATGGTTGGTTCACGGCTGTGCGAAGTCTGACATGCATACAACGGTCCCTACTGGCCGACGAGGTTGCCTACCGCGGAGAGGAGACAAGGCTGAAGCGGGGTTTGTCTGCATTCAAATATTGCGAGAGAACTGACAGAAACTCACCTCTTTGCGGCCATTAACAAATACAATGAGTAGGACCAACATCATGGAGCCTCCTATCGCCGATCTCGCGCGACTGAACGTCAACGACGCGAGAGAAAACAATGCTCTAACCGATATCGTGCAAACAAGCACGATGAATGCTGAGCCAGCGGACTGGAAAATCATGGCGTGGCAAGCATGCCAGCAAGGACGTTCTGTTGATGTCAAGTCAATCCTGAGGAACTTGGAGCCTCAAGATGTCTCGCACTTCGTCAATGCCAGGGGCGAGGACGACAACACCGCCTTGATAATTGTTGCGGCTGTGGCTCATAAAGATGTGGCATGCGCGACAATCATTCCTGTCCTGCTGGAAGCGGGTGCCGATATCAACGCCAAGAACAAAAAAGGTCGGACTGCCTTGATGGAAGCAGCACTATGGGGAGGACTAGCAGCAGTCAAAGCTCTGCTGAAATGGAAGCGAGGCGTTCCCGTCAACGCAAGCTTGGAAGACAACTTCGGACTTAGTGCCATTGAACTGGCTGGGACGGACAGTAAACTCGCAACCGAGAGAAAAAATCGATGTGCTCATGGCAAAAATGTGCAAACACTTCTGGATGGGAAACTACGGATCCGCATCGTAAAGTTGTTGAAACCCGTTGACAATGGAAAGAATGTGCCAAGATCTACTCGACATGTGAGCATGCAGAAGCGTATTGAAGATGGCAAAGACAGAATTGATGCAGACATCTTGAAGGAAACCCAGGCAAAGCTGAAGGCTGCGGAAGACTTGGCTAAACGCCACCTGGCTGATCTGGAAAAGACAAGAAGGGAGCTAAGAAAGAAGGAAGGGGAGCTCGTAAGAGAGCACTCGAAGTTAATGAACGCCCAGACCGACATGAACGATGTCTACGCAAAGTTTCGACCACCGAGCCGAAGCAACGTCGACAGAGCTGGTCAAAAGCCCCACTTCAGGAAAAGAAGGATGTCTATCAAACCCTCTTGGTTCAGATTCGATTTCACGATGACTTTTGATGTCGAGCCTGTGTGGAAGGACGCAACAATGGCGTACATGAAGATAAACGAAAAACATTTCTTCGCGAAAAACGGGAAAGCTCATGACACCCAAGATGGTTACATCTCAGGAGAGGGTTACTCGGCAAAAGCTTTCCAGTTACTCAAACTTTTGGGGTGTCGTCACGACTCAACATATTCTCAGCACGTTGAGCCACAGCTCATGGCCCTATACGTGGAAGATTTTCGAAACAGCAATAGCATGACATTGGTCCAATTTACAGAGCATCAGCCTACAGAAACGCTTTACGGGCACGGTAATCGGCTGGTAGTGGAGATATTTGTCAGTGCACGGCCTTGTCCAAAATGCGTGGAGCATACGGAGACGATAAACGTAGTTGCAAGGATGCATGGTTTCGAATTTGCGCTTATGCATACTGCATGTTAGCAATGGAACTGGGAGTTCACAGTTGTTTTTAGTATATAGACATGGTATAATTCGAACCGCCTTGATGCTGGGAAAGTGGTCACTACGTGTTCGTATCGTGTTGCCAGGCTTCACGCCTCCGCCGGTAGCGCTTTATACGGAACTTCAATCCTGCCTGTTCATTGCCGCCGCGCAAACAAATCACTGCCTTGAAACCGCATTCGGTTCTTTGCGATGCTGAGGAGATCGTGCAGGCGTATTCTTGAAAGAACTACAGGTTGCGAGCACTATCACGCTTGTTATCGAAGAGTAACAGCAAACAAGCCATGCAGCGGTTTATATGCCCACACTTTGTCTGATATTATGAGAATGATCACAGAAGCTCTCGCCATCATGTCTACACAGGCAGTCATACCCTGCGATGCCGCGCTAGAGGAGCTTAAGAGACCATGGTCCGCGACTACGTTAACAGAAACTCAACAACAGCGTCGATCAGACGTAGCCAGTGCGAAGATATTGTGGTCCCAAGTTTTGGTGGAGTTTCGGCAGAAGCAAGGAATGACCGTCAAGAATTACAATCTCAGAAGAAAGAGGCAGCCGTTCTTCCAGTTCTTAGATCTACCCGGTGAGCTTCGCAACATGATATACGACATCTGCCTGGACAACGAGAAGACGACAAGAAACCCTGATATGACGAAGAGGACGCGGGTTTATCGAGGATCAATGGGAAGCAAGAGCTTCTTAGACCACAACATACGGCAAAAGCGCGTAAAAGACATCCGCGCGCGAAAGCCGACCAGAGAACATAGGAAGCAAGATGCCGCTCGAAAAGTTGCGCTCGAAAAGATTGTAGAGAGAAAACTTAAGCACGCAATTCGTTCGAGGGACGGACTCACAGTTGGCGCCCATGAAGCTTTCTACCTGTACAAACTGGAGCACAACATGTATACCTTGCCATCAAAGAGGGTGACAGATGGCCAAAACAACCACGACCAAGGCATATTCAATTCGGGCAACAGGACAACGAAGAAAGGTGTCCTGGAGATCGACGTCAGAGGCAACCTAGTCGACGACCTTCCGATGCTTTCCTATGTCGATCGTGCAATCTTCTCCGAAACCCTGTTCCTCTACTACTCCACGGTGAGAGAAGGTCTGTGGATCAAATGGACAGTCCGGAACTTGGACTTCTTCCCTTTCCTGCGATTCTACCAGGCATTCACCAGGGGTGACAACGCGGTCGAAATTCCACCTTCGAGACTGCACATTGAGTTCGACAAGGAGAAGGAGGAGACTGACGACGGCCTACATGCGAAGAAGTTTGTCCATGTAAAGAGACTGGTCGAGCTGCACTGGCTGGACGGCTTCCCACTCTGGGGCTGCTTAACCGGGTTATCTGATCGTCAAGATTGCAAGGGACCGTTCGGAGACTACATGTACTCTGTCCGCCAGGTCGTGGCGTTGTACCGGATTGACCACGAAGCTTGGAAGTCGCTCTCCGTCGAATACCTTCGCCGTTGTGAGGCAATGGGTGATGACGACGCTTTGGAGAGTGACTTCGCAACACTCTCCGATGCCGAGCTTGTTGAAGCAGTCATCGATATGCTATGTGGAGCGATCGAGTACAACCTTGGGTATACAGGCAGCTATGCACGAATTGGTCGCGATCAGACTGAGTGGGATCAAGATGTCTTCGAAACTTTCAGGTATAAGGGATCGCATGTCAGGACGGCTTATGAGAAAGAGCATGCGATTGTTCGTGTTGTCAGCCTGTATCAGAAGAAGGTCGACAGGACACTGCGGGATCGGCTGGGGGAGGTGTACGAGGATTGGGAGAGTGTTCCAGATGACGCGCTCATTCCTGAAGGGGTGGTGTTGTGATAGTACAGATAGATCGTAATATCTCTGCTTATGGCACATTGTTGGCGCCTTCATGTGTGCCCAGGTGAGATCGTCGCGCAAAAGCCGATGCCTGTTCAACTTCATCGAGCAAACGGGACACGGAACGTCGGGATTAACAAAGACTGGTTCCTCACATGTCTAGAACTGTAGTGCTGACATCGCGATACATCCGAAAAGTCTCCTTTGGTGTGTGATGAATCTCTCCGAGTTTGTGCCTGGCGAATCAGCGTTGGTGCTCCGGAGTTCGGCCGAGCAACACGTGACTGAGATATTGTCAGCACACTGTCGACCTACAACTTTGGTGGATCCAGGGCGTAAATCTCGACAACCCAAATTGCGGATGCCTAAATTCCGATCCGACATAAATCGCGACGTTTGCGAAGCGCAATGGAGTTCACAACCCACAGCCTCCACTATCTGAGCTGCAAGTCGCCGAATCAGAGTCAGCGGAGCTTGCTACTCTTACTACCTAGGTCCTTGCCGGATACGTCGATCACCGAGTGACCGAAGATATTCGGAATATAAGAACAGTTGAAGACCTCCGATTCCTTCAAACGAGCCTTCATTACACCTTCCAACACAAAATGTCATCACCGAAGCTTATCGTCCACCACCTCCAAATCGGCCAAGGGGAGCGCATCCCATGGCTCCTCGAGGAGCTCAACATTCCTTACGAGTTGAAGCTGTACAAACGCTCGCCCCTTCTGTCACCACCCGAACTTCAGGCGGTCTACCCTATGGGTGCTTCACCCGTCCTTGAAGACCTTACCGATCCGTCCAACCCAGTTAAGATTGCTGAATCTGGCGCCATCACCGATTACATCATCCACAAGTATGGTAACGGACGGTTGGCCCTAAAGCCGCAAGACAAGAACTTCGCAGACTACCTCTACTGGCTTCATTTCGCGAATGGCTCGTTGCAGTCTGGACTGTTCAGAAGGGGCATGTCGCGCGGCATGGTTGGCGAAGACGACCCTCGTTACAAGGGCCAAGTCGCACGTTGTGATAAGATGCTGAGCCATATCGAAAACCGTCTTCAAAACAACAAATGGCTTGCAGGCGAAGAGTTCACCGCTGCCGAGACCATGACGGGGTGGTGCTTCACAACGATGCGCAAGTTTGAGCCAATGGACTTGACCGACTACCCGGGCATTTTGGCATGGCTGGGTCGCATTGGTGAGCGCGAAGCTTACAGACGCGCGATGGGTAAAGCCGATCCTGATCTCGACATTGAGCAGGGGATCAGCGCAAAGGGTCCTCCGATGATGGAGGCATTCGTGAAGGCTATGGCGATGAAGCCGGGGTCCATATGATGGTTGGGGAGCTGCGCGGCTGATCACCATGGGGCTCGCCAAAAGCTGTAAATAATGATGAAAAAAAAAGAATACTAGCTCCGCTCAAGAAAGGGGAACTCTCTTCTCATCGATTGTCTGGTTCAATGCATCTTCTGTCGATGATGGTGATGCTTGACATGTCGCTGCGTGCGTGTGCGACGAAGATAGCCCGGGATAGTCGGCCGCGTCCTTCCGGGTCCACTTTGACGCGAGTAGTCAGGTACAACGACACGCCATGCCTCCGACCTCATCATGTCCACCTGATCCATCACACCACTCTGCCGCTGCAGGTACGCGTCGCATCATCACTGGGATGGTTTCGAAGGTACCAGAAATTGGTACCGTAGCATGAGCGTGACCTGAGCAGATCGTGGTCATGGCGAGCGGGGTTTCCTGCCAACCAGAGCGGTGGTACAATGAGATCACATAAAGCTTGCTGACCCCTCACGAGGGCATCTCCGCATCTGGGTACAGCTACATAGCTTGCTTCGAAGACACTTTCCAGCTAATCATACTGCTCAATTGCCCTCTACTTACTCTCAAATTACCGCCACAGCTTCAGCTACAGCTCCTCACGATGGCAGCAAAATACTCTCGCCGACCCAGCTACCTTGACGGCCCACTGTCTCCTTCCATCATCCCCGAGCTCGCGATTCTACCTCAGCCTCTCCCTGCCGACAAGGTTCCCTGCGGCCAGCTCGTCTCCAAGACGTCAAAGTACACATCCAAAGCCCTCGAAGACCGCGACTACGACGACATTGGCACACGATGGTATGTCAGAGTCTATGTACACGACTCATGTATTATATACTGACTTCCTCAGGTATAAAGACGTCATCTTCTTCAACGCCGAGAACGGAAACTTCGTCGAGAGCTTCGGCGGCACGCACCTACTCCAGAAGCCGCTTGACAAGGGCACAGAGGCTGGCACCATCGAGGCGGACGAGCAGAGTGTGAGACTCCTCAAGGATGCCGATGCCGCACTCCAGAAAATCTGGCAAGATGAGGAGGCCAGGAAGTGGATCAAGGAACAAGACGAGGCCGGCTTCGTGGTTGCCCATCGCCAGGTCTCCAACGCGAGCTACAAACGCGCCAGGCTTGTCGACATTGGCAACAATAATTGGGAAGTCGTGCGCGAGGTTGGCAATGAAGATGCTACTGGTAAGCGCAGGGACTCTGGTTTGCCGGTTGAGACGAACAGCAAATGGGACGTGGTAGGGGTTGTGGTCAAAAAGATTATCGTTGAGGGCGACGATGTGAAGCTTGGTGATGAGCTCGGAGCTCAGTACTGGCAGTAGTAGTATAGCTGAACAACCTCATAGCACACATTCAGTTCTTACAAGTTAGCAACTTCCCGAGCGCTTACAGCTTCTTCGATCAAGTCAAACCAACCGAAACGGTACACAGGATTGTCAATGACAGTAAGCAGGTGATTCCCGAAGTCAGTGCATGCGCCGCTGCGGCACGGGTTGCGGCTCGCTTGGAGCCTGATTGTGCTCTCCCGCCGACTTTCATCGCACGTCCTTCGCTTCCACCATAACGCTGACTTTTAGGCAATGGCCATCCAACAGACAGCGTACCGGCACGGCATCTTTTCGTATGCAACATCAACCCACCGCGTCGTATCTCTTCTTCGTCGCGAGTTCGTCCTACTCCAAGAGAGCATATCATGGAGACGCAACATCAGCAGCCTCAACGCTCAACAACAAGCCGACTGCGAAAGGCGCAAAGACAATGTTGCGCGAAGAGCAGCGCAGCTAAAAATCCTCGGCGCTGGAAATGCATTCTGCAATTATCGGCTCCTTTTCGGCATATCATGCGATGTTTGCTCGCGGGTACTCTGATTGGTCACTTTCAAGACATGCGGTCGTTAGGCCTTCCATGGCGACACAGGAATGCAGGTGTATTGCTGACATATAGCATTGTTCTTGCTGTGAAAGCGACATATGATAAGCGCATATTTTCCAGCACAGAAATCATGACACGACGCGCACATATTGAATGAGCGTCGATCGTAGGAGCAAGCAAATCTAGGATGGATTGCGACGCCTTCATATCATGTATATGGGAAGTATATAAGCCTGTATATGCATCCACATACAACTGGCACCATATACCATAGTTAACATTCATCCTATACTTGACCTCCAAAGCTGGGACGAACATGACGCCGTCATCGAGCGACCCAACTGTCCTTAATAACACATTTCACTTCGAATCCTCAACACATACCTTCGATATCAAATGGACGTCGCTGGGCGCTACAACATCACAACCACTCATCTTTATACACGGCACTCCTTGGTCTTCCCGCGTCTGGGCACCCTTCGCACTGGCTCTATCACGCAACTACCGCGTTTACCTCTTCGATAACCCTGGCTTCGGAGATTCACCTATCGAACAACCTCTTCCTAATGCCTCCTTCAACCCAAAGAACGAAGTGGAGAGACTAGACAGCGATCTCGCTCGTCAAACCTCAGCCTTCGCCGGCCTCTTCAAATACTGGGAGAAAACCGAGGGATGGAAAGCAGCTCCACAAGTCGTCGCTCACGACCACGGCGGACTAATGAGTCTGCGTGCCAACTTACTACACGATTGTCGCTACTCCAGTCTCTGCCTGATCGACGTCGTTGCCATCGGCCCCTTCGGTCAACCCCTCTTCAAAAGCGTAGCAGAAAACCCCACAGCATTCGAAAACCTACCTGACATGGCTTTTGAAGGCATCCTCGAATCATATATCCGCAACGCTGCACACACTGCATTGAACGCTGAGACGATGAACGTTCTCAAAGCGCCGTGGGTTGCAAAAGGCGGGAAGAAAGGCTTCGTCCGCCAGTTGTGTCAAGCGGCGAACCGGAATACGGAGGAGGTTGAGGGGCGGTATGTAGAGGTGGGGCGAAGTTTTCCTGTAAAGATCATTTGGGGAAAGCAAGATAACTGGATTCCTGTAGAGGATGCGCACAGGCTTGGGGAGGCGCTAGGTGTCAAAGAAGCGGTAGAGATTGAGGCGGCGGGGCATCTGGTCATGTATGATCAGCCGGGTCAGTTGGGTGTTGAGCTGGGTATGTGGTTAGCCTCCTTGGGCGTGTAATTACTATTTACAACATGACGAATCCGAAATTCTCCAATTATATAGCAGCGTTTCAGTGTCATGTGTGAGGTAGTTCGTCGCATATTACTAAACACTCCTTGCGACTCCTATGAGGTAGCCTGAGGTGTCCATGCGCTCTTCCTACGACGCACTTCAATCTCTACTGGCAGAGGGACCTTGTATCTGATGACCCACATCTTCTTAGGCTTCTCTGCAAGTGGCTTAAAGTCGTAGTTTAGTAGCAAGTTGGCGAAGATAATCTTGAGTTCATGAGAGACGAAGAAGCGTCCAGGGCTGCATCATCGTTAGCAAAGATTCTGACATCAAAGTAGAGGGTACTTACCAAGCATGCCTTCCATGGCCGAAAGGGAGATGATTCACACCCGTAGTGACAAGGCCCGTCTGCTTCAGTCTCAGCGCATCAACGTTTTGTTTCTCCTCCGTGCTCATCGCCTCGTATTCTTCTCTCGGTCGCGAGTATCGGAACGCGTCGAACTCTTCTGGGTTCTCGGTCATGTCTGTATCGAGGGCCATCGCTCCCCATGGACATGAAAAAAGCGTTCCGTACTTCAGATGCACACCCTCCGGTGTTGTGACACCCTCCTTCGCTACAACCTTGCGGTGTACGAACGTAAGGCCGATAGGCGAGGCACGCTGTGATTCGCGAATAGCAGAATCGATGCGGTACATACGGCTGAGAGCATTTTTCGTCCAACTTCCCTCCTCTTGGAAAATGCGATGCGCTTCTTCGCGCAACTGTTCGACAACTTCTGGCTCACAGCCTAGTATGCAGACAATGGTTTCAAAGGCGGTAATCGACGTCGTGTGTATGCTGGCGAAGTTGAGGGGCAAGACGCGCTTAGCGATGCGGTCGGGTTGCATCTCCTCGGGTCGTCCCTCGGCCTGCGCAACTCGGTAGCTCCATGTGATGAAGTCATTCGGCTCCTTCCAACTCTTGTATTCAGGGTCTCCGGCATCTTTCTTCTCGAAATCCGAGATACGTTGCTTGATCATGGGTATTGTGAACTTCGAAGACAGCCAGTAGTGGTACTTAACAGGCAGACTTAAGACCGTTCCCACGATGGGGTGCAGCGCCTTTGGGACAAGAAACATGATAGCCTGATTGCGAATGACGTCTTTGGTGTAGCTCAGTACCGCTTCTAAGAATTTCTTCTCGTGACACAGTGACTCTCCAAGAAGCATGCGGTTGGTCAATACGGGAATCATCTCCATGAAAGACTCCAGGACGTCCAACTTTTTCCAATTTTCTGTATCTGTTCCGTAAATGTCGGCAATCGTTCGTGGCACTTCTTCTTCGAGACCCGGTATGATCGCAGTGAGATTTCGAAAAAGGCTCTTGTGAAGGACATGTTCATGGTAAGCATCTTTCAAGATGTAAGGGTTGATGAACGAATAGTCGCCCTGCAGGGAATCGTAATGCGCTTGATGCGCACTCAGTACAGAATCTGGTTGATCAAACATCCAGCGCATTTGACTTTGAGGCATGACAATCTCAGCCTGCATGCCAAGCGTCGCGGGTAACACAAAGATCTTGCCGTCGCGGCTGTATTTGTTGTACCCAGCCAACAACCATTCTTTGCTCTTCGTCAGTGCAGTAAAGTTGCGAAAGTCGGCGATCCAGCCTTTGCCGTAGCCCATCCATGGTATGTCCGATGGTGGTGATGGTGCTGTGAGGAAGTGGTAAGCACTTGCGACGATCAGGTAGGTGATTGCTGCAGTGGCGACATGTGAAAAGGTGAAAAGGCTGTGAGGTTCGGCCTCTTGGCTTGTGTCTGCCATAGTAGGTATGACCGAAGCAGAAGCAAGGGGCGATGAACGGCATCCCATGTCAACACAGGGGCCGTCATATACTATTTGTGATGATCGACCCGGGAAAGCGCCGTCGCTTGGAGGAGATGCCCCGCTTCCGTGCGCGCGGCCATTCGCGCACGCTATGTCGCACGACACGACTTGCATGCCCACATCCGTCAACTTTATTACCGACCTGCCATACCTGGCTGCTTATCACAATGTGCACCTTGCTTACTGTGTCAGTTGCAGCTGGAGATATTGCCGGGTAAATTAAGGTTCATTCGCTGCAGAGCTCTGACAATTACAGATCCGCGGCGCTACCTTCGGATACGCTACTCCCGAGCTCATGAGCGGAGCAGTCATAGACGGTCACGGCTTTCATCAATCAACGGTTTCGGCAAGACTGCTTATCACATGCCATCCAAGCCAAAAGCTCTCGACCACTATCTCGGCTACATGCCTCTGTTTGTTGCATGCATTTCAGTATAGTATGCTTCATGGGCCTTCGCTACCAACGTTCCAGTCAGGCGATTTCACTAGTGAGGTTTTCCTGTGGCGGTTGTCTGGAAGCACGAGAGGCTTAACAGCTCGGTGATGTTAATGAGGTTCCCAGCAGACTGTGTCGTACCTTTCGTAGCAGGTGAGCTATCCTTCATAGCTGACTCACTGCCGAGGGGTCGAGTATGACCCGCTATGTCCAGCTTCTCGGTGGGTCGATCAATTGCAAGCACAGAGCGACTGCTAACGCCAGGCTCGCTTGGGTCTTCCGCGTCCATAGTGTTCTTGAGCACTTAGTCTATTAGTGTTCGTAGCGTGATGCTGTAAGTATGCTTTGGAGGTCAAGCCGGAGAAGAGCAGAAGCTGATTCATACCGCGATGTTATATTCCATACACTCAAAGTTCTTTGCTCTATGCCCAACGTCTACCAAGAACACAGCGCGTGTTCGAAATCTGAATGCTTGCAATGAAGCTAGTAGTATTGACAATACTGTGGTGTTTCATGTTGTTTGCTTACGATGTTTCCATTTGGCTCTAGACAGGAAAGTACTCCCCGAGACACTAGCTTCTGATGTCTTATATCTGCTAGTAGATGTAGCATGTACTGGTGCTAAACATCGAGTCCGTGCGTAGACCGCTGATAACACTAGAACTGCGAACACAGCCAAGTTCCTCTTGCGATACTGGATAGTACGTTTAAGGCTGCTTCCTTTTCCAGAAAAAACCAAAGATGCCACGAGAACTTGTCGATTTCCTTAGGTACCAAAGCTCATAGGCTCCCGTATATCCAAGACCCTTGACCCTCTCAGAGTAAGAAGTACTCGTGACTGACTTCAGCTGATCTTCCCAGATGAATCTGATTTCATCGACATTGCTGCCGGGAGCGTGGGGTGACTCGGTATCGTTGTCGAGGCAGAGCTTTATGTCTCTCGTCACCATCTCTGCTAAATGATCTTCAAATCGAAAAGAATTGAGGACGCGTTCTCTATGAGCAGACGGAGTGATATCCCCCCAGCCGTCTTTATCGTCATAGAATATAAACGTGAGACTAGCGATATACAAGCAAGGCAAGAGCGCAAAAGCGGCTGGAAACCTGGCGAATATATCCGGTTTATCCAGGATTGACGTCGGGATTCCGATCTCGACATGTGTGATCTGATCGACCTGAATAGGGATATTGATGCGGAGCGGTGCGCCATAGGCCTTGTTCCAGGTACTCATTACGTCTCTGAGGAAGTGTTGCATGTTTCGGACAATCTCGATTTCGGCTTCAGCCTTGAGCTTTTTGCAAGAGAGGAAAAGAGATTGGTAGTCTGCGATATGGCCGTTGAGCGGAGGCGACATCTCGGCGTACATTTTGAGGTGTAGATCGGCTGGTAGGCCTAGCAATGAAGCGGCCTTTACGTCGTCCGTGTTGGTGTTAGACACATTGCGACCGTGGAAAGGGGAATCCGTGACAGCCACTGAGGACACACTATGGATTGACATGATGTGGTGGAATAGTAAGATTATCTGCGCTGTTGCACCGATGTTCTCTTTACGGGAATCTGTGGTAGTGTTTATGGCTAACTAGCCGTGTAGCAGCCTAGGGCAGAACCCAGGCACCACGCACTCCGCCGAACTTTCATTGTTTTCGCTTTGAACAGCAGGCGAGAAACGACCTCGTCCCTAGGTAGCGAAGGAAAAGGGATATTGACATTAGCAGAAGGCGGATTGGGTCAACAGTGGGGCAATACGTGCGATCAGCAATTATGTTCTGCTTCTGCTGTATTGACTTGACTTGCTGGTATCTGCACTCCTGGTAATGTACCTAGGTATGGGCTGTGGGGTCTCGCGATCGCCGATAGTACCGCATTTTGGTAGTCCTCGAGTATGAGGGCATTTGCCGTCTGTCGTAATGTCCAAAGACTTTGAGATTGACCGAGAATGGAAATCCATTCGACATACCCGGAGTGATGCGGATGCCCCAGCTGTTGGCGGGCGCGTGTTCTCGATGAACTGGACCTCGGGAGTTGTGACGTCACACCCAGCACGTGCCAGCAAGACTATCCTCCAGCGCGCCTCCCCAACTGACGGTTCTTCACATCATCACTTCACAACCAAAACACCATCAGATGAAGTCTGCCGTGGTATGAAGCTCAGTTGGTAGCCACCTAATCGCATGTCGACATCCGCGGGGACCGGGGTTGGACAACAAGGGATTGCCTATTGTAGCCTAGCATGCATTCAGCACTGCGGCACAGTAATCGTATCCGACATGTCTCTCCAGTCATAAGACGGCCTTATCCACGATGTTTGCGGCTACTCTTTACGAGTTTTGATCTCTATCTTCTCCCATATCTAAGCTTACGTTTGAGACCCGCACGAGCAGCTCAGCACACCTGAAACATTCATTAAATATATATACCACTTCGCGATCACGATGCAAGCCAGCTCATCTACGAACGTACCATCGGGCACCGGGGGACTCGAGGCTTTTCACGCTTCACTATCGGCACTCATCCAAGCTAATCGGGCACGTCTCGCCAGCGCGGGTGGTATTCCTACTACTACGTCTGTTTCAGCTCAAACCGCCGAATTGTCTAGCAAAGGCAACGGCAAACGCAAAAGACGCGATTCTCATAGCAAGACACCAAAGACGCGAAAGACGCGCACACTGAAAGACCTTGTGAGGGTATGCAAAGAGCTCG